TAGGTTTCATCAGGTAGTCTGGCACTCCTATCAGTCGAAGAACTGACAACAAGAAATCCCACTCAACTGAATCAAATGCTTTGGCAATATCGAGCTTAAGTGCAATTCTCCTAGAGATGCCTCTCCTTTTGTACCCCTTCAGGATTTCGGCTGCTAGTAAGCAACTCTCGGTAATGCTACGCCCACGGATGAAAGCTGCCTGATTCGGCGGGGTTACCGCTTCGACTATCGGTTTTAGCCTCGATACAATAAGTTTAGTGATCACCTTATAAATGGTGTTGCAGCAAGAGATAGGTCTATAGTCTGATAACTTTTCTGCACCCGGGATCTTCGGGACCAAAACCAGCGACGTTGCATTGACTGCTCTAGGAAGGTATGCAGATCTGAAGAAATTCTGAATTACGGTCGTGAATTCCGTACCTAATGTATCCCATGCCTTCAGAAAAAACTCAGCCGTAAACCCGTCAGGTCCCGGGGTTTTGTTTGAAGGCATAGATTGTAGGACTGCCTTAATTTCAGCTGCTGTGAAAGGAATTGAAGCCGCCTGCAAGACACTTGGAGGAGCTCTGCCTATAAACCCCTCAATGGCAGCAATATGATAGGAGAGGTGACGTGGAGATCTGGGACAGCCAAATATTGACTTGAAGTAGTCGACAGCTAGGCCCGCTATGCGATCAGGGTCAGTAATTCGTTGGCCATCCGAGGAAACCAAATGACGAATCGTGTTTTTGGAATTTCTAATCAGCATAGATCTGAAGAAGAAACGAGAGTTCTGATCCCCTGTCCTGAGCCAGTGAATACGCGACCTTTGTTTAAGAAATTTCTCTTCTATCTCCTTTAGGTGAGTCCAGCGGGTGAAGCATTGGTGTTCTTCAGTGAAGGTTGCTGCACAAGGATTCCTAAGAGCGTTATCCTGCGCAAGAGACAACAAGTTATGTGAATCGGCCACCTGTTTTTGGATACCACAATAATTGTTTTTGCAAAGAGTTTTGATAGGAATTTTTTGCTTCCTTAGTTTGAGATGAAACTCCGATAGCGTAGAAGCCCGATGTCCCGCCATTTGCCATGAGGATTGAATGGTTGGAATGAAGGTCGGGTGGTCCAGAATGAAATTGAACACTTTGAAAGGTTTAGGACTTGTTTTTGTGGTCGGCTTAAGGGTTAAAAGGCACGGGCAATGGTCTGACGGGTTGGGGTGGGTGAAGGTAGCATGGCTCCGAGGGAAGGAGAGTAGCCAGGAGGCATTAACCAAGACGCGATCCAGCTTTTTAGCAATCGGATTGCTGACCTGTTTATTTGACCAAGTGAAGAGCGGACCTTGGTATGGTAAGTCAAAAATCTCAGTGGTAAGAGTCAAGTTCCTGAACC